GTTAGTTGTTTATTTACAATATATACATATTGGTTGTATGTGGTTAAAATTGCAACCACAATATGCATGCATATATTTTAAATATACTCGGTTGTAGTGGACTCTTAGGGATTGTGTATTTCAATTAGTTGCACATGAATACGAATTTATTTGAAGTGTTCTTTGCTTCGGTGTTCTTCGAAGCACAAAGTTATACATCTAATTGGATGACTATAAATTAAATGCCAAATATCTTCAGTAGAAGGTCTCCAAATGATCATTGTATAAAAAAGATATAAACTCATACAAAACAATTTGATACTCGAACATAATACATACTTATACTACGAGTATGTTCCTCTGTTCTACTTATTATTTGGATTGGGATATTGGATTTGGATTGGATTGGATTATAAACTATATTTAAAACACACGAGCATACATATGTAACAAAGTGAAAGCTTTAGTGGGAAAATCGTTGCTTAGATCCCCATTATTAAATCATTTTGATGAGGTTCGTATTGATCTTCAAGTTGATTTTCCCCATGATGATCCCTATATATTATTATTATTATTATTATTATTACAATCATTTTGTATCATGATGTCTGTTTAAAGACTTTTGTTCCACATGTACATACATATATCTATGATATCATGTCAGGGCTTGACCATAAAATCATGTCCTGCCCCTCACTCACGCACACCCACACACCCACACACACTCTCTCGGCTCTGGAGATGTCGTAGGTGCGTCGTCGTTGTCCCCGGGACCCGGCACTAGAGCGACGATAATGATAAATACAATATAATGACGCGGCAATTGTTGACAACATCAAGTGTTGGGAAGGGCAGAGCCAAGCCGTCCGTAATGGACCGGGCCGGGCCGGGAAGAGATGGTAGAGAGAGCAGCAGAGCAGAGCATTCTACGGGCTCAAAATGTGAATGAATAAAAGAGTTTTCCGAGCTGCAAAAGGAACTTGTCTGACTGGCTGGGCCGCGGGTAGTACCAGTCCTACCTAGAGAGAGGTTACCCTCTCCCCCTCCCCCTCCCCCGCCGCTGCTGCTGCTGCTGCCACTACTCGAGCGCTACAATGGGCTCAAACGCACACCAAGCCATATACACACACACACACACGTACACACACATAGCAAAGAGAGGCGGCGGCTCAAGTGGCACTCGTCGGATAGGGCAGAGCAGTGCAGCAACAGCAGCCAGTGGCCGTTGTTGCTGCGGTGCAAGCGAGACGCCAAGACAGTCACAAGGATCTCTCTCGCTCTCGCTTTGGCTTTGGCCTGAACACGGCTCGGGCTGGCTGCCTGGCTGCCTGGCTGGCTGCCTGGCTGGTGGTGGGTTCGGTTCGTTGCTGCAGTTGTTGCCGGTGGTTGAACGAGCCACTCACAATGTGGCTGTTTGTTGTTGGTGTGGCTTCTTCAGCGCTCTATATCCTTGTTGAAAAGGACATGAGAAGCCACTTAGCGGGGCCCAACAACAGAGAGTGTCTCTCTTCAGGCCATGGGCTCTTACGCGGGCTCTGCATACCCTGCCTTGGTGTTGGTGCGCACTGCGAGCATATACAGTGTGTGTGTGCGTGTGTGCCCAATGGTGGAGGGATGCAGCCCTGGCCATATACCAAAAAAAGACACCCTACACACACACACACACACACACACACACACACACACACACACACACACACACACAATGAAAGAGAGAGATGTGTTTTGTTGTTGTTTTTGGTACTTTTGTGCCGTTGGCTGGTTGGACTCGTGTCGAGTTCTTGATGTCTCGTTAGTTGTTGATGACACTTCAGTTTGGAATGTTTAGAGTGCGGCTAACAGCGCAGAGCCCGAGCCCGAACGCGAACGCCAAGTGAATGCCCAGAGCCGTATCCCATATCCCGTCACCCGTCACCCGTCACCCGTATCCTTCTGAAGATCCTGATCCGTGTTAACAGAACGGAAGCCGAACAACATTGATTATGATTGCCAGCAGCTTTTGCTAGAAGCTCCTTAAAAGTCTCCAGTGCAAAGTTTCCACGTGAATCTCCCTCTCTGGCTCTGTCTCTGTGTCCCTTTGTGTTCGCGTGTGTGTGAGCTTTATTTTTTTTACCGTGTCCGGGCGTGTCAACAGCCACAAAGTGGCGGAGAAACGCAAGAGCCAGTCTCCGTCGCCCGCCGCCCAACAGCGGCGCAAATCGAACGGATCACCTGCCCCCCCCACATCGCCACAGCATCCGCCGGGCGGCCGCCGATCGCCAGCCGCCTTGGAGATGACCACCAGCTCGGGTGCCCTGGAGCGGACGCCCTCGAAGCGCAGTCGCGACCGGGAGCGGGATCGCGAACGGGAGCTCAGCAGCGGCAATAGCAGCGGCCTGGGTAGCGCCGGCAGCTTGCCCGCCTCGCCGCAGAGCGCGATTACCGTTAGTCCCGCCTCGCCGACGACCCCCACAACGCCCAAGCGACCGTTGCGCACCTCCACCCCGTCGCTGGATCGCGAGGGCGAACGGGCGGCCAGGGAGCGTGAGCGAGAGCGAGAGCGCCAACGAGATCGCGAGGATCGCGAGCGGGAGAGGGAGCGAGAGAGGGAGCAGGACCGGGAGCGCTCCTCCAAGGTTTTCAGCACCGCCAGCACCACAGTGCCGACGACAACGACGCCCTGCGGCACCGGACTGGCGGCCAACGAGCATCTGCGCATACCCACAGGAGCGGCCGCCTTCAGTGGCTTTCCCGGCCTCCATGGCATGGGCAGCCTGATGGTACCCTCGTCGGCGGCAGTGGCTGCTGCGGCTGCTGCCCCCTTCTTACCCTGGTCGCCCATACTGCTGCCGCCCTGGAGCCACGCCCTGCTACCAGCCGCCTTCTATCCGGCGGCCCTGCGCAACGCCTTGCCCGGGTAAGCACGATCGGGGGTAGGGTGGGGACTCGAAGGGAAAATCGGAATGGCATGAAGCACTTGCTTCAAAGTTATAGATATATATTATAGAATTTAGTCATGGGATATATGATATGAAATGGATAATTAGCGGGAATCATGAGGCTACAAATGTATCCACATACTAGTACTATATAATATATATATTTATATATATATATACTATGACTACTCTGCGCATCGCTGATTTCTTAATCTCAGCTAGAGACTAAGCTCTCTGCGACATCTCATGTGCCTTCTAAGCTCTATGGGGCCTGGGGCCTGGGGCTATGGCATTCCCTCAGATCTCAGATTTCAGATCAACTCTCCCCCGATGTATCCATCAATCTATCTATCCTAGAGATCAGCCTCTGTTTCTCTTTCTACCCCCATTTGTCTTTCTAGCACTCTATTGGTATTTTCAACACATCTTTTATATATAAGGAGTATAATTTTATTTATTGCTGTTCGCTCTCCCTCTCTCTCTCTCTCTCTCTATTGCAAACCCTAAAAGTCGAGCTTTGGATTATTTTCAATTTTCCAAACGCTTAAGTTCGATCTCCATTTTTGCTCGATCGATGCCTTGCCACAGTTTGCCTTCGCCTAAGCTTCGGCTCATTGTCACACCCTGAGCGAGCCCCTGACCTAGTCCTAGTCCTCGTCTTAGTCTTAGTCTTAGTCCTCGTGCTAGTCCTCGTCCAGTGTGGGCTAGCTAATGGACTTTGCTCACTAATCCAATGAGGCGGCCACTTGCAGAGCCAAACTAGCCAAACAAATCCTGTCGAGCAGAAAACGCGCGAATATGGTACGTAATTCCCCCGTTTCTGGCCGAGCAAGGTACTCAAGGTCCCTGCATTTGGATCGTGGAAATTCGGCTTGATTTGCGCTGGCCTGGCTTAGAAATTCCCAGCCCATCCCATCCCAGCCCATCCCAGCCCAGCCATCGATGGACAGGACAGTGGGTGAGCGTGGTCAGGGGAAACTCCAATGACGGGCCAACATGTGTGCAGCAGACAGCAGAGAGGACAGCCAGCCGAGGACGACTCTCGGTCGGTGCACATAGTGCATATTCGGGACAAGACACACCGGTCTGACGACAGGTCTTCCCCTGCAGACGACGACGACGACGGCGACGGCGTCACACTGTCTGGCGGGAGGAAATTCCCTCCGCACACAACATGTGTCTCCCGTCTTTGTCCCACCATCGTTCGTCTCTGGCGTGGGAATTTTCGAAAAATGCAATGTGGAAAAACCGGAAGCAGCGCGCGAAAAACTTGCGCCAACATGTGGCACGACCTGAGCCAGCGACCTGGCCTGACCCGATCCGAACCGATCCTGTCTTGGGCTGTACAGGTAGATGGCGACTAACAGCGGTCACAGCGGTGGTCAGTGCCTCGCTCTAAAGCAGATTTGTGTTTAATTGTTGATGGTATTAGTGGAAAATCAAAATTTCATTAGCCTGTGGTCCTCGTACGGGGCAAGGCAGGAAGGAGAACGAAAACGAAAAGGAAAGGAAAGGCCACTGGGACTAGGTGTCAATAATCCAGCGATTTGCGTGCACTTAATCAAAGTTAATTCTGCGCCGAGAATTTTTAGCAGGGAGCTGGAGAAAAGTGCCCAATGTCTTCGGCAGTTTGCCCGCTCGCAATCTGCGAAAGTCAGGCCAGCGGCAGGTAGCACCGACAGGTACACAGACCAACCGGGCTAGGCTCTGTTCGAGCCACAGCCTGAAGCCTTTGTTGGGCCTTCCGGCCATTCATGACATACCCATGTACCGGATGTAGCAGCAATGGGCATGAAACTGCAGCCAAAAGATGACAGAATGACAAAAGCAAATAGCAAATAGCCAATTCATTCAAGCCTCAATCGAAACATCAATCTGAGCATTCGTTTAGCATTCACCCCATCCCAGATACTCGCTCACATTTCTTGCCACAAAAACCCTCCATTTAGTTTGATTTCCCTCCAAGATATTTCGCACCCTTCCCTCCAATGTGTTCCCCATTTCTTGCCACTTTTCTTGCCTCAATTAAGGAGATTCCATTCGATATAATGCCACATCTTTCACAGCTTTGTGTCTAATCCTTTTATTCATTTTTCCTTGCAGTTTGTTTGATGCCAAAGTGCCGTCGTCGCAGCGCTCCGGCTTCCATATATCGGACATCCTCAACCTGGATGGCTCCGATCTGAAGAATGCCGCCGCCGCTGCTGCTGCCGCTGCTGCTGCCCAGCACAGCAGCGAGCTGAGCCACGCGGCGGAAGCCAGCAATGGCCATGGCCCAGCAACGCTCTCGCCGACGCCCACCAGTGCGGCGGCGCTGGAGGAGCATGGCGCTGGGTCCGGACACGGCGAGCACCACACCACAGAGCACCATCCCCAGCAGCCGCACCACCCGCCGCAGCATCCGCATCACCATCAGCCGCATCCCCAGCACCACCAGCAACAGCATCCGCATCCGCATCCGAATCCGCATCCGCAGCACCACCAGCAAACGATAGCCCCACCCTTGCCACTGTCGCACCACCAGAGCAGTGCGGCTGCTGCTGCTGCTGCCGCCGCCAGTGCGGGAGTTGCATCCGATCACCACGTGGGCGCCCACGCCCATGCCGCCGCCCACCTGCTGGCCAGTCACAATGCGGCGGCCGCCGCTGCCGTTGCCGCCGGGCAGTATCTGCCCAAGAATTTCGCAGGCACCTTCGGGGACGAGATGTCCTCCTACCACCACATGGCCCAGACAATGCTCCAACACTCGGGACGTAGCGCGTGGATCAAAGAAAACGAATTATACGGTGAGTGTAGTTTCAAGTTCTCAATGGGAGGGCAGGCAAAAACCATATAAAATAAATTAAATTAAGCGGAAGGTAGCTCCATGGACACATTCAAGATACAGAAGACAGATAGAGAGACGCGTAGAAAATAATTATACTGTACGAACAATCCCCCGATGAATCCTCCCTGCCAATCAGTGGCTTAGCCAGCCAAAAAACTCAACAAAAAAGCAGACAAAAAATAAAATTAAAGTTAATTTCTCGACAGCATAACTAAGACAGCAAATGATGGTTGCAACCCTTTTGATAGGTCCCAAGACAAAGATGAAGCTGCATAAAAATATATATTTATATATATAATTATCTCAGAGGAGCATATCAAAGTGGTCCTTGACACGGTTCACAGGTCTGATGTAGTCGCTAAAACCCTTAAACGAATCCAGTAATCAGCCAACAAATAAACTTTGAGTAGTGAAATTTATTTGGTTTGATTTGGAGACCTTTAAAGATTCCCAAGGCCAATGGGGGAAAAGGTTAAAAGAAAAAAAAAAGTGAAACATTAAAAATTGTGGCGAAAATCGAGCCCGTGGATCGTGGATGTAAATGTAACCCTATAGAGAGAGAGAGAAGAGAGAGCCTCACCGATTAACTGCACGACTAATAATATTGTTAAATAATTGCCTCGCCATGGAAAGTGGTGCTCAGCCATCCACTCATCCAACCATTCATCCATCCATCCATCCACCCAGCCACTCACTCACTCAGTCAGTCAGTCAGTCAGTCCGTGGGTCGATAAGGCAGCTGTGTTTGCATATACATATATATGGGCTAGTGCTGTGTTAACCCTCTATGCTCGTACGAGTACGAGTACGAGTGTATATGAATTCAGGTGCTTCCCGGGAGAGCGCAGAGCGCAGAGCGCGGAGTGGTGCCGAGCCATTTCTGATCCTTGCACACTTTCCTATCGTTTGCTTTTTTTAATGTTTCTTTTTTTTTTTTGATTGAAATTGGGAATTAAATTTGGAATGCGTATGGGGGGGAACTGGACTTGGATCTGGGTCTGGGTCTGCCACTGTGCGCTGGGGTTCTGGGCTTCTATTATAATCCTGACTAATAGTTTTGTATGCGCTTCACACTTGAGGATTAACTCTGCTGTTGCCCTCTGGCCAGGATGGGTAGTCAATCGTTCCTTGGGCCCTGCCATTGTCGGTTGTTTTGTTGTTGCGAGCCAAACATTTCTCACTCGTCCTCTCGGCAATTTATGGCACGCACTTCCGCCTCGTCCACGTCCACGTCCAGGTTCACATCCCTTTGTCCCACTCCAACTGCAACTCCAACTCCATGCCCATTCCCATATTCTCAATCGGTCTTCCTCTTCTTTTTATTATACCTTTTGTTGTTGTTGTTTGGCTACAAATTATAATTGCTGCCCGCTTGCTGTTTTTTTTTTTTTCGTTTTTTGTTTTCGTTTTTTTTTCTGGTTGTCTGCTCTTTTTTTTTTTTGGGAAACTTCACAGCTGTAAGAAGGAGCGTCGACGAGCAATCGTTTTGATTATATTAAGTTATTAATTTGTTGAGTTGTCATGGAAGCATCGCGCCTGTGTGGAGGGGGGCAGCTGCTAATGGGGGTAATGGATGAGCATTAGCCGCTGGGCTTTGTTTAGTCAATGGTACGAATACTCGTAGTGGCAGGAGGAGGAGGAGGAACATAGGTTCTGAGAATGGGGTGTTCCTTTCTCCCTACTCAAATGCAAAAGAGGGATCTTCCTTTTGTGGCCTTCTGCTTCCCACTAACTTCATTGACATCTTTGCTGGAGCCCTTTTGCGGTTGCATAGATCACACGCCCCATGTGTGAGGGGCAGCCGACACGCCCGCCCGCCCGTCCATAAATCACCGTTCACAAAAGTCGCATCAAAAGTGGGCGGTCATTTTGGCACTCACCCCAATAGAGTGAAACACACAGAGAGTGAGAGAGAGAGAGCGAGAGAGAAACGGAAACCGGAAGAGCCTCGAAAATGAAATGCCATTGATGTTTGAGGTTTGGCTTTTGTCTGCCAGTCGCAGTCCCATTTCAAGTCCCAATACACATTCCGAGGCATTCAAGGCACAGCACTCGTAAATGCCTTTTCATTAGCATCCCATTCCATGCCATTCCATGCCATTCGCTTCCATCCCATTCAGCATCATTCGGCCCGAAGGTCAGCAGTCAGCAGTCAGCAGGAGATCGCATCGTGAACACGTCAGGCCCAGGTAGTGAGAGAGCGAGAGCGAGAGCGAGGATTCCCCTGTGAATGCTGCTATCTGCTGCCTAATTGACATTATTAGCCCCGAGAACAGAACCCATGTCGCGGCAGAAGCGGCCTAGGTGGGGGGTTGGTTTTTGGTTTTTGGCCAGCACATCTGGCCCACCCCAAACAAAAAAGATCGAAAGATCGACCACAGCCTCATGTCGCGCCGTAATCCAATTGCCAGAGTTGACTCTTCCCCCTACCCCACTCCTCACTCCTCACTCTTTAAGCAACTAAAATTCTGCCCGATCATGCCGATCCGATCCGATCCGTTACGATAGGGGTGGCTATAGGCTGCATAGGGAAGGGTGTTAGCTATGGGCTAGGTTAAGGGGTGTGTGTCGGGGCATTAATTTATTGGCATTGCTGACAAATTCGTTGTCCATTGGCATTGGGAGGAATTGGAATGGGAATGGGCATGGGCTTGGGCTTGGGCTTGGGATCCTTTTGTCTGCCAACTCGCTAACACAGAAAATTCTCTCTCTCTCTCTCTTTTCCGTACTACAGGCACACAGCAGCCGGCCAGTCCTGATAGCACCTCGCCGGTCACATCGGAGGTCTCCTACACGTACATCGGCTCCAATTGCCAAACCTCGCCCGCCCTCTCCGGCGACTACAAGAACTACAGTCGGTCGGCGGACAGTGATGCCCTCTCGGTGGGCGATGCCATGCACAGCATCCATGGCGGTGCCAATTCTGGTGGACCCTCGGCGGCACATGCCCTACACAACAACAATAACAACAACAACAACAATAGCACCAGCAACAACAACAACAACAATCACAGCCTGAAACACGATCACCCCATCAATGGAGCTGGTGGCGGAGGCGGAGGAGCAAGCAGCGGGCACGATGACAGCCTCAACGAGGATGGCATCGAGGAGGACATCGACGATGTGGACGATGCGGATGGCAGCGGTGGCGGCGGCAGTGGCGGCCTCAATAGCGACGGACTGCCCAACAAGAAGCGCAAGCGCCGCGTGCTCTTCACCAAGGCGCAGACCTACGAGCTGGAGCGACGATTCCGACAGCAGCGATACCTGAGCGCACCGGAGCGCGAGCATCTGGCCAGCCTCATTCGTCTGACGCCGACGCAGGTGAAGATCTGGTTCCAGAATCACCGCTACAAGACGAAGCGGGCACAGAACGAAAAGGGATACGAGCATCCGGGGCTGCTGCATGGCCACGCCACCCACCCGCACCATCCGTCGGCCCTGCCATCGCCAAGGCGCGTCGCCGTGCCCGTGCTGGTGCGCAACGGCAAGCCGTGCCTCGGCGACGGCTCCAAGCTGGCGCCCGACTGTGTCTCCGTGAGCTCAGCGACGGCCACGGCCATGCAGAATGCGGCCGCCGCCCACCACCTGGTGGCGCTGAATGGGGCCGCCTATCAGCATGCGGCTGCTGCGGCCGCCGCTGGACTCCATGCACATGCCCATGCCCATGCGCAGGCCCATGCCCACGTTCATCCACATGCGCATGCGCAGCGTGCCGCCTGGTGGCCCTAATACTGCTAGATACGGAGAGGCTGAGCGAGAGTCAGTGGCAGTGGCAGTGGCAGAGGGTGTGGTATGGAGGTATGGAGGACACTCGAATAGTCGACACTGGAGCTGGGAATTCGAACAAAACTTTGGTGCAATAATGGAACATAATGGAACCTTGTCACAGCCGGCTCGCCAGGCCAACCCGCCCCACCCCCCAGAAAAAAGAGAACCGAATCGAAGAGAAGCGAAGGAGAAGCAGCCAAAAACTAAATATGTGGAAAAAGAAGAGCATAGTCAAAGTAGAAGCCTCTGTCAATCCTGTACATAAGTCAGACAAAGGTAGCAAAAAAAAAAAAAAAAAAAAAAAAAAAGCTAGAAGAGTTCTGAGAGCGGATATCATAAGTGTAAAAAAAAAACAATTAAGATTATAAGTACGCCCCAAAAAGCAAGCCCCCCCCCCCCCCCCCCCACCCCCACCCCCAACCCCGTGTAGCTCAAGAGCTTTTGGGCCCAATTTAGTCATAGATTTTCTAAACCTCTCTGCCCCAAAACAAATTCCCAAACAATATATTACACAATTAAATAACCATAAATATAAACATACATTTTTTTTGTGCGTACTAAAGTTGATAATACTTATAAAACTAGAACGTAGACAAATTTTTTTTTTATTTTTTTTTTGTTTTGCCTTAGTCGTTAGCATAATAAATCCAATAATCAAATGGATCAAACCCCTGTAAATATCATCAAGAAATACACATACCCTATAAAATGAGATGGGTAGGTCTAATACATGTACTTACATATGTATGTACAGCCCAGATCGCAATGCAAATAAATCATACAAATGTCTGTACCATATAATAACTAAAGCATAATTAGTGTTCAATTTTTTTTGTAGTCAGAATTTAGCGGTTTTTTTTTATTGTATGAATACACACATACATAGGTACATATGTATGTATGTATGTCTTATAGAAAGACACTAAGTCGTAACCGATATTTTTTTTGTCATGTGTGTGTGCGTGTGTGAGTGCATAGCGAGTAATGAAAGCAAAAAAAAAAAAAAAACACTCTTTGAATTTATAGCGAGTAATGAGTTCATAAATGTTAGCAAAGGACCCAAGGACACAAAGACGCGACACTAACACCAAGACAGAGTAGAAAAAACCAACGAACACGGACGGACACATACGGACACGGAAACATCCGGGACTGGTCAAATGTATTCAGGACAGAAGCAAAGCAAAGCAACCAAAAACAAAACAAAACAAAACAAAAATTGCTGCAACATACATTTTAGAGATTTAATAAAAACCCATTTACAACAATTTAAACGAAACGGCGTTCTTTCTATTCATTTAGTTTTACGATACGAATTATCGGAGTATCAAGAAAGGGGATTGCAAGTAGCAACAAGGCCTTCAAAAATATTCCCATTAAAACCACGAGGCCTTCAAAAATATTCCCATTAAATCCACGAATATTTGCATACAGAGAACCTGCAAAAAAAGGAAATTAATGCACGTAAAACTGATTCAAAGAGCGTTAAATCAGTTGGCTTAAAAAAGGTTTTTATAGGCACTCTGCGGGGCGTAGATTTAAATGGAAGCTACGAGTAGTTAATATATAGCGTAATCTCAATCTGCACTTTCTGATGCTACATACAGGTATGTAAATGTGGGCACTGCCTTGTGAAGCTCTCCTTAATTATCATATTACAGCGGGAACTCAGTAATGGTGAAAATTACAAATTGTTAAGCGTTCCCATTATGGGGATCGTAAGTGCCCAGCCCTGCACACACACACACAGCGATACTCCTCTATCGTTGGGGCGTATAAACATGTTGGACACACCATATATATGGTCTTGATTATGGTAGTTAGCTACCGTTCTGTTCTGTTCTGTTCTGTTGTGTTGTGTTCTGCGATTGCAATCCGTAATCCATTGAGTTCAATTTTTGTTGATTACGGCACCAAAACAATATTCGTGGATAGCGTCGGGCTGCGGCTGCTATAAAGCCTTTAAACCCGATAAGCAGGAGAGAGGGTGGCCAGAGGCCAGTGGCCAGGGGGCTGGGGGGAGGTGCTGCACAATCGGACTTTAAGCTATAATAGTACAAGTATAATACATATCTGGAACACTCTGTCTGGTAGCTACAATTTTGATCCAATTATCAATCGATCATGGGCGTTTCATCACTCCCAAAGGGGTGAATCAACCGGGTGAGGGGCAGCCCCCTCCACAATTCTATATCTCCCCCCCCTCCCCTGTGACACATTTGGCAAATAAAGAACTCGAAGTCAAGTAGATGGGGCTGGAGTATCTCATAAAATAATACGAGTGCTATTCTAATAAACGACAAATTAAATTACTCATCAGCGGAATACTCGCACTTGAATTGACTGATGGAGCCACATGTGGCTCCCTCACTCCCTCAACCATATTTTCCAGCCAGTCCAGTGCAGTGGGAAGTGCTTACTGATCGTGCCTGACATGCATCGGGCATAACAATGATGTATTTCAGGTATTAATAAATATCGAGTGCCACTGCAGCCGACAACAGCGACACTGGCATGTGGAGGAGCAGCTAAATGGCCAGCGAGTACCAACAAAAGTACGAAATCGAAACGCAGTTTTACACGGGGCCATAAACTGAACAACTGCAACTGAAGTGCCATAAATGTTGCCCCCACATACTCGCACTCGTACGTTGTGCCTGCTGCCTCGTTTGCCGTAGAATTATTCTACCTTTGCGATCGTTGGGAGCGGACTACTGACGCGCGCATGTCTGGTAATTGCGGATCCTGGCAAATTAAGGAAATGTTGTTCCTGTTAGTTGAACGAGCATGTCTGGGGCAGGGCAATTGTGTGGCTTATAGACATGGCTTCCATGGCAGATGTAGATAAATATTTAGTTTATCATTTATTGCCTCTGCAAGGGATCCGTCGGAGCATCTTTGTAGCTTCTAAAATCACAACTCAACTTAATTCAACGTTTTTGTTGGCACTATTGAGGCCGATCTAGAATATACTTGGGCTTCCTTCTCATGCGAGGCATCTCCGCATCATGCACACCCATAGAGAGTGCCACAACTTGCTTGGAATAGGCCCAAGCCCTTATGTATATGATCGACCAAGCCAGTGGCTTTGTCATCTAACAAATATTTACACTCCTATCCCCAGGTGTATTGTGCAATGGGGAAGAGTGGATGCAAACTCCTGGACCATCGCGCAGGGGGTCCCAGTTTCCACATATTGACACACCATATGTATGTATATACATTTTTGTTGATTGTTGACCCAACCCCGCACAGCTGTCAAGTCAAAGCTAATTTGTGTCTTTGAATTATTATTAAATTAATTAAAATTAAAAATAATTATTATTTTGTGCCTGGCTATCCCAAGGGTTTTATAGCTGCTCTCACCAACCTTTGTGCACATTTATCAGTTAGCTGAAGTCTAGTGGAAGAACCAGTGGAAGAAGCTGTGCAACTCGGATAACAGCATTCGCATTTGGCCAATTTTGTCGAATTAATCTGCGCTGATTGCTCTGCAGCGGCTATTGGCAGACACAATTAGCAGTAAAATTCAAAATAAATGGATGTTATCATACATTCGTATTCCCAGAACAGTCCTACATATACACACACACACATATATGTATGTATATGTATGGTCCGATGCCAGACCGAGTCGGGATAGCCTAAGAAACAATCTCTGCCCCAATCTGCACTCTATCGAGTGGCAACACCAAATCAGAACGCGTAATTAACTATGGCCTACAATCTGGCATATAAAAACATACATACACACATATATACATATGCACGTATATTTGTGTGTGCAGTCCCTGTCCAGATATTGGAAGCCACCAAAGGCCACTTATCGATTATTTTATTAATTGTAATCTCATTTATTTACCCTACTCTGCGCTGCGCTTTACTGTTCCTGGCCTCTCACTGTGTTTAATTTCTACGTTTATTTTGTGATAAATTTATTATTTGATCAGACCATACACACATACACACATACACACATACATATATACATACACTCGTGGGTATACTTTAATCAATTTTTCATTACATACTTCGGAATACGTACGATGTTGTCTCTTCTCTCTCTCTCTTTATCAATGCCAAATTTGAACGGGGTGCCCACAGACCAGTGGCCAGTTCCATCGGAAATCATCGCTGATCAAGTGCCTGTAAGCACAGTAGACACGATCGACTGGAGCTCCACATGCTGGAGTTGAAGTGCTCGAGAACAAGTGCCGCTGGCTATGGGATGCGACCGAGCTTATGTTTTCCTTGATCCCATTCACATTCACATTCCCATTCGATCTTGCCTTGTGCCCATTACCCCCTTTTTTCCCATCAGCAGCAGCACTTTGAGCATTGAGTAAGTCTCATACTCTCATAAGATTTAGCTGGAAAACATTCAGCACTCTTATTTGCATTTGGCAGAACTAGCCAAACTATATTTTTACTATTAAAATATGAACAGATTTCTATGATCAATACCTTAAACGACGCCTAATTAATGCACATACACACAAATAATACAAAGACACAGCATATAATTTTGTTTCGACTTTTCCTGAATTTATAAAGTCAACTTTAAAAAAAAAAGAGCAAAATAATAATAAATTTTGCATTTGTAAGCTTAATATTTGCCAGATCGTAAGCGGAAACAACAAAGTGTTTAAATTCAATGTATAGCTACAGTTATTAGCTGGGCAGAATGGTAAAGTTCATTACAACCAGCTGTAAGGTACTTAAGCTATGTGAAAAATAGCAGCACTACCTCTGAAAAAATCATAAAAAGTAAGTTTCTGGTTTAACAGCCAGAAATTCATCAAAACAAGTGCCTAAATAATAGCCAGTGCACTGGCGCAAAATAACGTTATTCCAGCTTTGTTTGCTATTTGCATTTCCCACCGCATATATGTACATATGCATATATATTGTAACCGCTTTTAATTACTCACGGCAGCGGCCGTTCTTTTGCCGCTTTACATCTCCTTCTTCATTTTGCTACTGCAGCTGCAGCATCTATGCTGTTCTCTCGCATTCTCTATCTCTCTCTCGCTTGCACTAGGGCACGGGCAATTCGGTCCGCCTACCCTCTTTTAGTCTTAAATTGATCGTCATCACTTTCGCACTCACGTTCTACCGTCTTGATCTATCACTCACTTCTCTCGAATATTGAACCCTGCGGAAAATCTCGCTATCTCTTTCGCTATACCTATACCCCCATCTTTCGCCTACTTATAACAAATAAATTGTACACACATAAACAATATCGAATCCGCTCGACTTCTTATTTCATCTAAATC